AGTATAGTAGTCATGTCTGATCTCTGACATAAGTAGTATCAACGATCAAAGTAGTAAATACTATTAGATAGACAAGAAAGTGGGTTATATACCCTTAGAAAATGTCTGATCATTTGTTGTCTCTGACAGAATCCCAAAAGTTGGCTAACCAAAGACGATTACGATTAGGATGAGGACGATGTTACTACGAGGATGTGAATCAACCGATCTCCGTGAGATATATCAAATAATCAATTAAAAATTCGATCTCCGGTTATCCCGAGACTAATAGCTCGGCGGAGCGTTACCTGGGTGTTCACGTGTGGTCCTCTATCTTCTTCTCCTCCTACTTGTCAAAGAAGAAAAAGAAAGGAGGTAAGGGATAAAGAAAGATGAACTTTGTATATACCTAAAGAGAAAGAATGAAAGGAAAATAAAAAGAGAGAGAGAGAGAGAGAGAGAGAGAGGGAGAAAGGAGAGGAACGTGTAAATTTCCCGAAAAAATGCTCATTGATGAATGGTTTATATCATGGACCCACCTCGTCCCACCAACGATGGTATACACTACTCTGTACGATCCGCCCTCGTGCTTCATCCCCACTCTTTTACTTTCTTCCCCCACTAGCACTCCCAACAGCAGCAGCAGCAGCAGCAACAGCAGCATGTCGAGTGAACAGCAAAGAGAGTGAAGAAGATTATACTCCCCTCCACTAGAGTTGCCAGAAGAGAAGATCAGAGAAGAGAAGAGAAGAGAAGAGAAGTGAAGAAGAAGAGTAGAGAAGAGAAGAGAAGAGCGAGTGGCAGAGTTGGAAGAGGGACAACGGGGCCTACCTAAATATCGGGGGATCATGCTAAACGGCGGCAGATCAAAGGGACCGACAGAATCCAGTGGCGAGCTATCATAATAATTAGGCTCGCTCGCGCCTCTTTGTATCGGGATAGAAAAGCCGACGGGAAGGTCGAGAAGAAGGAAGAAAAAGGTTTTGGTGCTGGTGCTGGTTCTGTTGGTGGTGGTAGTGGGGTGGTGTTGATGTAGAAAAGGATGGTAGAGAGAAAGAAGAAGAAGAAGAAGAAGAAGGATCTTGGGACGACTACACTCGGTCAGATCTTCTTCCAACTTGCCTTCCTACGAGACCGGTTGGTTGCTGCTTGTCTCTTCTTCTTATATGTTGCTCCATAGTGTTGAGAACTTCTATCTTTCTCATTCCTTTTCTATCTTTTTAACGTTTCTTTCTCTGTGTTGTTCGGTTTCTCGCTAAATTGAAGCTAAGAGGACTCTAAAAAGATTTTACTGATTTCGGTTGAAACGACGTGAGCACGCAATCACCGAGCAAAGGGGTTTTAAACTAAATCCATAGAGAGGACGAGAAAAGACAGCTTCCTCCTTTTACATTTTTCTTTTATCTCTATCTCTCTTTCTCTCTTGAATCTTATTCTTCTTCATTTGTCTTTTTTTTTCTCCTTTTCTTTATCTTTGTTTGCTTGTTTTTTTATTTCTTCTTCTTTCTATCCCTTTTATTTTCTTGTCCCTTCTCGTATGTAACAATTCTGCCAGGTGGTGTCCGGTGCGCCGTTGTTGTTATGCTCTGGATAATATTTTTCTTGATTTAAGCTGATAAAAAAAGAAATAACTGGGCTTTCGATATATCGGAAAGAACAAATAAAGCTTTGTTTTTCTTTAACGTGTAGAATAATAACCGAACGATTCCGACGGACGCTTGAATTTACTGATATTGTAAGAATGACAAAGTAATAAAATTTTCATACAAATCTTTGCCTAAATACATATTTTGATTTTTTTTCTTTTCTATGAAACTATTTCCAATTATCTCTTCTTATTTTTCTTCTTCTTTTTCTTCTTCTGCTTGATCCTTTTTTTTCCTGTATTTCCTCTCGAGTAAACAAGGAATAAAACGGAACGGCAAAGATCGAAGATAGAAATTTGAAAGGAAAAATTCGAAAGAAACTATTTCAGCCTCGTAAATCCTTAGAAGATTTCGTGTCGGTTAAAAGAAGAAGAGAAAAATAAGATAACAGTTGCTCGAGGGTTTTCGTTTCTTCTTCTTCATCTTCTTCATCCCGTCACGTATCCCAACCGCATAGGGTCAGAAAATTCTGACTTCTATGGGGAGATATCCTGCGAAATACGCGGAAACTCAAAGAAGGAGGAAGACATTTGAGCTTGGATCTCGTAAAAGAGAGAGAGAGAGAGAGAGAGAGAGAGAGAGAGAGAGAGAGAGAGAAAAAGAGAGATCAGTGTCTTGGATAGAAAAGAAGACAGCAACTTTAAAAGGATAGGTTAAATAGAACAAAAAAAGAAAGATTAGAGATAGAAAATATTTTCGAGTGACCTGAACATCGCTCGTTGTCGACGAGATTGCTACAATTACACGGTTAAATCGATTCTCGCTGAGGATAATGCTTACATGTATAGGTATGTGTCTATGTATGTGTAAATGATAGAAGAATGTGAATGTATGTAGGATAAGGCCCCTAAGGATCGTAGGTAATAGTCTGTATAATATAACAATCTTGAGATATCTTCCTAACGTTGTTGCCATGGACGAGTGATCCTTTCGTGTGATGATCATTTTTCCTTTCCTCTTTTGGTCTTATTTTTTTCTTCTTCTTCTTCTTGATCATCTTGGTCTTCTTGGTCTTCTAGATCTTGTTCTTGTTCTTCCACCATGTTGTTATTGACCACGATTCGTCGACATTGGCTTTCTCGGAAGTACTCGATCGTGATCAGTGGCTCCTTTCCGTGTTACAAAGAACCAATCGGTTGGTAGGAACGTAAACGACCGATGCAATTGATGGGTCGCGGGCAATCGAACACAGGATACGAATCCTAAGAAGACCGAGTGATTTAACACTTGAATGACGATAACATTTAAGATGGTGGCCAATATTATATTTATATAGAAAGAATTTTAACTGAAAATAGAGAGAATTTAATTAAAGTAAAGTTATTAGATGAAGATTAATATCTTGGTTTTCTTGTTTTTTTCATTGTAAGATTTTACATGGGAACGTTTTCTTGTTGTTGGTAATTTTATTTCTTGTTTCTTTTTTTTTTTTTTTTTTCTTTATTTTAAGGATATTTCTTTGTAACAATCTTGAAAATAAGATACATTATATTTCTTGTTAACATAATTTGTGTTATCGTTGAGAATATTATAGAGAAAATAATATAATTGGTAGAGAGTATTATTTCTTTCTTTTATAGCTTCAATTATAGAAATAAGCTTTGTTTTAATGTTGGAAATTTGAGATTATTCTTTTTATATTTAATCAAAGTTTTGATCGCGAAGAGAATATTGGAAAAATAATATAATAGAAAAATTATAATAAAGAAAGAAATTGTTATTATAATTGTTAGATTAGTTTGAGAGTATTGTTTTTCCTTTTTAGAGTTTCAATTTAAGGGATAAGCTTTGATTAAATGTTGAAAATTTACGCATAATATTTAATCAAAGTTTTGATAGAAGAAAATGTATCAAAAGAAATAAACAAAAAAGGAAAAAATAATATAATCGGTAGATTTAACGATAAAATAGAATAAAGGAAAGTAGGGTTGGTTGGTCCTCTTTCGTCAGAACAACTGCAAGGAGGATGTTAAGTACGTCTCGTAAAAATTCCACCAAGGCAGGAGCGTCGTCATTTTAGCGTGTCGCGTGATATAGAAGAAGAAGAAGGAACGAATTTACGAACGAACGAACGAGCAAGCGAATGAAAAGAAAAGAGAAATAAATGGTAAAAGAAAGAGAGAGAGAGAGAGACAAGGATAGAACGAGAAAGGTTTCGAACGGTCGAGCGGTTGGGTTAATGTCGCCGTGAGCTTGCTAAGGCTGACGAAGTAAGTTAGGATGGAAAGAAGGGGTTGAAAAGGTGGGCAGGACAAAATTGGTGCCGCCCATGAACGTTGATGCCAGGAGGAAGGTACATCCCACCGATGTAGAAGTGTTGTGTGTAGCACCCAAAGTTACCGCTCCTTTCGTGTTCTCCCCTCCTATGAGAATTGTTAAACCCGCTGAGGCGGCGTGTTGGGGAGAAAAGCCAGCCCCTACAACACTGAACTACACCGGCCCTGAATCCCCGGACCCCTTACCATTTCAAGTCACTGCTTTGGCCTGGCCTGAGAGGAGCCTCGGCCCCACGCTAGTACACACACCCGGCTCCGTTTCTGCTTTCTGCACTTTCAACGAGAAATATATAACACAATAATATTTCTCATTTATCTTAAATTCATCTGTTTTTATAGTAACGCGTGTATCGCGTCGTTCGTCGATATATCATTAGATTTCGAACAAGTGTAAATTCATCGTTAATTGTTTTATATACTTATTAAATAGTGTCTATTGTTGTATATCGTTGGGATTCTCAAGAAGACATTGTATACCTGGACACGTGTTTTTATTCATGGAGGAGCCGGCTGTTAAAACCTTTCTCGTCGAAGTATCTTCGACGAAGAAATTGTATTACGTTAAAGATACGTTTTATAATATTCTACGATTATTGTTTTTCGTCTTTTCATGATCGTGAGGATAGGTGGTACGGTGATATTGAGATTTAAAGACGAATTAACTGTGAACGTTTGAAGATAGATCTATAAGGTAAAAACAAAAATTGATCTTTCTTTTTTTCATGATAATAATAATAGAAACGGTGAGAAGTGATAAGTGAATTGTATTTTTAAATGGGCAAGAAATGAAGATAAACTTAATAGTGTTTGGATGACATGAAGAGTGCGCGCGTTATGAGACTTAGAATTTGAACTAAAATCGCGCACCGTTCCTCGAAGGATCGGGAACGATCGCGAATTCATGAGTTTGGTATTTAACGTGAACGGGACTATTAAGGTGTGTTGTGTTTTTCAATAATTGTGTTTTATTGTGTCAATGAAATTTGAAAAGATAAGGCAGGAGTATCATTTCCGTTAAAAAAGAGGAAGAAGAATTTTTTTTTTCAAAAGAAAAACGAAAAACATTAAAAAGACATATTATAGTAAGGATTGAAAAATCATGTGCACGACGGAGATGACGGAATCGTATACGATGTCACCGTCAACGACCGTGTCTTCCAGCGGGACGACGGCCGCCTGTTTGGTTGGCTCGCCCGGCCACCGACGGACACCTTGCAGAGGTTCACCGTGTCGTGGGAGTGATGTTCAGGATGACGAGGACGTAATTTCGGTTGGTTGTCCAAGTCCATTACCGTTGGTAGTAGTTGCATCATCGACGGAAAGCGAGGATAGATTGATATCGTCAAGGGAGGATTATGTCGAACGATTGAGTCCTAGGAGAGTAGGATACAGTCGAACGGATTCAACTATGGACAGTGAAGACAATTATTCGTCAAGGAATAGCGATTATAGAACGTCTAACGGAAGGAGTTCGATAAGGACTCACGAGAGTAGTGGTGGTGATTCTGTAACGACATTGAGAGAGGATGAGGATTTAGAAGAGGACGAAGAGGAATTGGATAGTAGAACTAGTAGCAACGGTACTTCGGCTACAGCCGGTGCTACGGACGATTACTTTAAACCATTAAAACGATTGCAAATGGTTCAAATGCAACACTCAGACGAGGAAGAGGATAGAGATCGGGACAGCAACGAACGCGGTGTTAAATCTTTCAGTATTCTCGATATTTTATCTCACAGACCTAAAGCGAAAATCGTTAGACCCTGGGACACGGTCGATTCTACGATCGGTCATCGTCAACATATTCATCATCATCATCATCAACAGCAACAACAACAACAACAACAACAACAACAACAACAGCAACAGCAACAACAACAACAGCATCTTCAACATCATTTACATCATCATCATTTACACCATCACAATCATTCGACTAATTCTAGTAGCAGAGATTTGTCTCTGATGGGCATGTCATTGGCGTCTATGTCAAGTACAATAAGCGAACCGCCTCTCAGTAGTTCGTCCTCATCCGGCAGAAGTTCCGTTTCCGATTCAGGTAGTCCCGATCCTCTCGCTCATCATCACCATCACCATCATCACCATCACCACGCGGCACGACACCACGCCGTTCATCCCGGTCTACATGTTGCTGCATTACAACAACAGCAACAACAACAGCAACAGCAATTCAAGAAAAAGAGTTCTCAGCAACACGGAAACTCGCAAACTGGGCAGAATGGAAAGAGAAGTACTGGCCAGGGTAGTCCTTTGGATGCTCTCTTCCAAATGACGAGCAAAACTTTTGACGCTGGTGAACATAGTCAAGGTAAGATAATTTTTTGTTTTTATTTTTATATTTTCATTTTTAATTCTCTTTATATATTATGTTTCATCTAATATATTTCATTAGGTTGTTTTTACTCTCGTATCTAACCCACGCCGAACATTTTTGTATTCTACTGTTTCTTCGTTCATTCATTCATTCATTCATTGCGTCTTCCTTTCTTTTACATTTTTTTTTTTTTAACTTTTGGAAAGAGAATACTATTCTAATTGAGTTTAGTCCACGCTTCGGCAACGTTTCTGCTCACGGCAGTTTTTCTCGGAAGGATGTTAACATGTAATTGCATCGGGAGCACTTAATTAACCGAGCTAAGGGAAACGACGTGCGTATATCTTTTGCTTTATGTAACTTATCTTTCTCTCTCTCTCTCTCTCTCTCTCTCTCTCTCTTGTTAGAGTAGGGGAAATAGTCGAACTCGCAGATAGATAGGTAGCTAAATATGTTATTATATTTATTATACGTTTCTTCTTGTACGATACTTAATCGTTCTCGTAAGAAAGAATGAGAGAGAGAAAGAGAGAAGATATATTTTTATTTTATCGATAAATTTTATTCTAATAGCCGTGAAAATAAATGTCACACGTACATATCATTTATATAGTTTCGATTATGAAAAAATGCGTATAGATCTTCTCGTACATCATTAGTTACCATAATTTATTCGTCACGTACTCGTGATGTAATACGTGAACAATGTTAAACGTTACGTCAGTTTTATGCTCGTAAAAAATAAAAAAAAAATAAAAAATATCAGACACACAATAAGCAAGGAAGGAAGGAAGGTATTATATTACATTACAAATATATTAAGACACGATATGTTCGAATATTCTAATCTTGGATTATATTTTTCTGTTTCTTTCTTATATACAAATATATATAAATTTTTAAACAAATTAACGCTTCAATAATTTGTTCAACACTTTGATTATCGTTCGTTACATTAATTAAAGGCTACGGTAAATGAAGAAAATAGAACTTATGAATAAACGAGAGTTACCGTGTACAAGTGTATTAGTAACTAAGTAAGTTAGTATAATACTTATGTTAGAAGAAATATATATCTCGGTGAGTTAGAAAGAACACGTTGTAAGGAGGAGGAAGTCTGGCTTTCGTTCGTTCGTGTGTAGCAAGATCTCGAGCATCGATCTATGAATACGGGCCTTAATTTTGATTGATGTTCTCCTCGCCGTAGGTGTCAGTGCGCGTGCGTGCGTGCGGTCCCCTTTTTCTCAAACGCAACAAAACGTCTCGCAGGAAGATTTTGCATTTTATTGTTTAATCGGCGGTAACGATTATTGACGCTTTCTTCACTTACGTTTCACATGGAACTTTTTCTTTTTTTTTTTTCTTTTTTCATTTCATTTGGATCAATTATTTGTGATACCATTTCTCATCAATCTCATATGTTTCTGACGGATTAAAAAATTAACATCACACAACCATTCATTATAATAATAATAATATAATAATAATGATGATATTAGTTTGTTCGATTTTTCTGCAAATAGTAATAACAGATTACGGAAATTTGTTTTGTCTCCGTTTCAGGAAAAAATATATCATTTACAGATGAGATTTACTCTTAGTAATAATAATAATAATAATAAAAATAATAATAGGAACTCTGTGTGGGACCGGGGTAAGAATATTCCCACAGTTATCCCTGCTTGTCGTAAAAGGCGACTAATAGGGAAAATTCGTAAAAACTGTAGAAAAAGAAAAATAAAAAGGTCCTTTTATAGAACAGTTTTGTATTTTTTTTTCTTTTTTTTCTTGTTTCAATAAAATAAAACTAAAAATAATAGGTCGAACTGGAATATGTATACATATATTTATGATTGTAAGATTTAATTTTTATTGCTGTCGCGTTTAAATATTTTCTTCTATTCACTTCTTCGAGATTTGTTTTTTGGTTGGTCTTTTTTTCTGTTTTTTTTTTTTTGAGGATTTTCTTTTTTTCCGTTTTCTGATTATTATGGTGGGGACGGACGTTTGGGTCGTAGTCAGTCCTCGCTCGAAGAAATACGAAATTGAAGATTCGTAATTGGATGATATTTCATTTCATATCGAGTGATCGAGTTGGTCAAATTAAAGTTTAGAAATTTTACGATCGCTTTCCGGCGTATCAGAAATAAAGGATTTTCCCGCCTTTTGGACCGTGACGATCCTACTGGCGACCTAATTACGCTTTAATCGATCTCGATGAGAGGTATCTCCTCTCTTCTTCATTTTCCGAGCTCAGCTAACATCTGTCGACGACCGTTTACACGAACCTAGTGAAAAAGAAAAAAGAAAGAATAAAAAAAAAGGACAGAAAAAAGGGGAAACCAAAGAAATTTCACGAATTATTAGAATCGAGTCCGAGAATTTTTTTTTCGGAAAGAACAAGATATAAATAAAAAAACAAAAATGATATCGGTAGAGAAAAAATATATTTGATATCATTCAATTGTCTCCGTTCGTATCGAAATTTTAATTACGATTGTTCTTTCCTTATAAATATTCAAATACGATTAGGAATGTGTGCATTTTTTTCTTTTTTCTTTTTAAATCATCGAATTTATGTGCTTCGATAAGAAAAAAAATAAAAGAAAGGAGGAACGGGTTTAAAAGTAATAAAGTACTAGTCAAAACTGTCTGCGAGATAGTTTCGCACGAGCTTAACACGCATATCACGAGTTCAGATTGCGAGATCGTGTCGTAGGAATCGAAACAAGGTGAAAACGTGTATTTAATCTTGTCGTTGAGTGTTACGGTCGTTTGAAAAATAACAAAAAATAAAAGGAAAAACTAAAGAAAGGAAGAAAGAAAGAAATAAGAATATCGATCGGTAGTTCGAATCGAAGCGATTATGTTCGAAAGTCGATGCTTACCGACGAATTTAGGTTTATGAGTTACATGCTCTCTTATGCTACTGTTGTATATCACTCGCGTAAAAATCGTTGACAACTCGAATAACTATATTCGTATTCGTTTATTTTTATATTCATGTATACGTGCACATACACACACGCATGTATAAAAATATTTATTCATAAATGCATACAAATGTTTATCTTTATATAACTTTTTTCTGAAACAAGTAGGTAAGATAGAAAAAATTTCGTTTTTTACTTATTTTTGTGCGATGGAATAATCTCGATAAGATGCTTGTCGATCTTTTTTAACGTAATCTTACAGAAACATTTATTAATTTATTCATATTTCTATAATTACTATGTTTAATAAAAATAAATAACAAATAGATATAATATAGAAAATTATTTTCTAAAAGAAGAAATGTTGAATAATATTATTAAACATATTCAATTATCAGATCACAGATATAAGTAATGATAAAAAATAAACAAGGATGAAAATATATTCAGTCGAAAATTATTTTCATTGGTTATATTCGAATACATATTTCCTGTTTTTTGTAAAAGATTTCTAATGTATTACAGAAGCACGTTTCAAAGCTGAGTAGTAATATTAGCTGAGCAATTTAATAAATGTGTTTGTAGTGTAGGATATCTGACCGGTTTCAATAAAGTAATGTAGATATTTTTCTTCTTCTTATTTGTATTGATTCTATTTATTAGTTTTATTACGGTGACATTTTCTCTTTGGGATTTTCGATCCCAGAAATTGGACAATTTTATCCCAATAAACCATTCTTACAATTTACACGTGTATATGTATGTATACAATATTGTAGATACTAATAGGTTCTCACATATTGGTAGTACATATGTACATCTATAAGTAAATATACATGCACATATAAACCAAACATCATGGAAGTATTAATCTCATAGTTGGCAAGCTAGGAGGATTGTCATGACGATCGATTGCACACAAGGGACAAATACACGATTACGTTTACATACTAGTATTAATGGTCGAACAGTATATATCGATATCGCTTAGTATACATCTATCGATGTTTAATGATAGTTTCTATACTCCATTAGCTACAATATTGATCACAATATCAATTTAAAGTGACACTTTCAACGAGCTAGATATACGTGCCAATTTTAATTTCAAAAATTTGTTGTCCAATTTATTTTTCAAAATATCATACAACCGTGCAACAATTTAAGATAAAATTTTGAATATTTCGGCAAACGTCTGTTAAAGATTTTTCTTTTGAAGAAGCGAACTTTGTCTGATCTTTAAGAAAAGCGGTGAAATCTAAGGATTTGTTGTCCTAATATTAATAAAATCGTCTTCTTCTGTAAATATCCGGTTACTTCTTACATTTCGTTCGTTTATTGTTCCGAAAAAAGGTCTCTTTTTTTTTTTTTTTTAAAGTTTCTATAATGAATTTACCCGAAGTAATAAAAAGATAAAATTGAGAGGTTAGTCCTTAGTAAAGGTAATCCTTATGATCTTTTTTCCTTGTGAGTTTAAGTTAGGTTTGTATCCTTGACACTTGCCGACACTAGTCTTTTGTGAGGTCTCATAAAATTCAATCTTCCCTAAGAGTAAAAATCAAAATTTGACAAACTAAAATTGATCATTTATCGACAAGATTCATTGCAGTTTAAAAAAAAAAAAAATAAGTTTCTTTAACAATAATATGTTCACTAGAATTTAATGTGTTTCTTGTGAATGGGTCAAAATCCTAGCAACTTGTTCACGAGCAAAAAAAGGACGAAAAAAGAAAAATTTTGTACTTATGTGTGTGTGTTTGCGTGCTGCCTGTGTATTATTTGTTCGCGTAGGGGGAGGAAAGAGAGAAAATGAAGATACACGTTGATTTTGGGACTCTGAAAAGTTCAAAGGATTTTCCCGATTTTAGGACCGTATTCTTGTAGATATTTTATCGATATTTACACACAGTTTCTCCAAATTATTTAACAATGACTATTTTCTTTTTATATCTTCTATTTTTTTTCTTTTTTTTTTTTTTTTTATTTGAAAGAAAAAAATGGATGGACAGTAAGGAGATTGAAGGAAAATTTATGATGATTTATGACATTTAAAAAAAAAAA